CCCTCAGTTTCCGCCACTGGCTGTAGTACTTGGTGAGCGGAGTCCCCTCCTCTCGGGTCTGCTTCTCCCAGTCATCCTGTGGGGAAAGGTTGGGGTCACGTCCCATCCTAGGCAAAACCCCAAGCCCCAGCCACACACAGGGGCCTCCCCACTAACCACGGCCTGCCGGTTGGCCACGCCGAAGGAGGCCCTCTGGCGGAGGTGGCAGATGTGGTCTGCGTTCTCCTGCACCTTCTCCAGCAGCTGGCGCACCTGCCGGCAGTAGTTGGCCACCTTGCACTCTCGGAGGAAGGACTTGAGCTGCAGAAGGAAGAGGGGCTCAGCAGCTGCACACAGGGCTGCTCTGCACGCAACCAAGGGCCCACCCCCCGACATGTGCCCAGAGGTAGAGGGTGGAGGCGTGGAGCCCTGGGGCAAATGCCTGTGGGGGCAGAGCCACGTGAGAACCAGGGCCTGTCCCTTCATTTACACACGTGTGGGTTTTTTACTTCGAAGGAGAATCGCGCAGTTGTGGAAACCAGAGGACTGCAAAGCCTAAGACACCACCTGGCTCTTTACCCAGAACAATGTGCTGATCTTGGGGCTTCCAGCCCAGAAACAGAGCCTTGCCCACCGAACCCAAGTCCCGATGGGCTCTGAGCCCAGGCCCTGGGTGGAGGCAACCCCACCCCAGGGCCATGCAGACAGGCCTCCCTGAAACAGGACATCTCGGCTGAAAACCAAGGACTCCCATGAGAGCCAGCAGGGGCTTCCGGGAGGGAGGGCACCCCGCCCCCCGCCCCCCTCTCTCCTGAAGGAAGCTGAGGGAGCCCTACCTCCTCACCACACTCAGGACCACAGGGGAGACAGGCAGTCAGGAGGCCAGCCCACTCGGTCCCAACTCCCCCAGGACAGACTTGGGGCCCAGGGTCCCACCACGGGCTCTGTGGCTGAGACAGGCTGCCGTCTTCTGCCCTCGTGTCAACAGGGCTGAGGCGATTAAACACAGGAGGTCACAGGGGTCTGGGCAGGGCAGGGGAGCGGGCAGGGGCACTCACCTGCAGGATGGCGGGCAGCGCCAGCTCTGGGAAGGCGATGCTGTGGGCCTGGCTGTGCAGGTACTCGAGGGTGAGGTCGTACAGCTGCTCCACCAGCCCGTCCTGAGAAGCAACGCGAGAAGAGCTCAGGCACCTTCCTCCCAGGCTGATGCCAGCCCCTCTCCAGGGCAGGAGGGGTGGGGACCCACAGCTTCACTCAGGCTCATGGGGCTGGGCCCACGGGTGTCTGCTCCCTGACCCTGGGGGCCAACAGGAGTCCAGGCAGAAACTGCACAGAGCAGCAAGCCCCTCCTGCTCACTCCTCTTGCCTCCACGGTCATCGGGATGCTGACCGCCGTGCGCTGACACCCTGCGGTGACCCCGCCCGGGCCCTCCCCCCTGAGCCCGCCCTGGCGGCCAGCCTCACCCGGTAAGCCTTCTCCTGCAGGTTGACCTTCGACAGCTTCAGGATCACCGCGAAGTTGATGGGCCTGGAACTCATCCGTCCCGGCTTCCTGTTGAAGTCAACCTGCTGGAAAACCTGCAGGACCGACAGCCTCATCAGACCGCAGTGCTCACACCCCACTGCACCCCCGCCCCCGGGCCCCTGAAGACCCGTCGTGAGAGTGGGGACGGAGGCAGTGCCAGCCCTGCAGCCCACAGACCCCCTGGCAGAGACTGCCTTCCAGAGCTCTGGTGGCCCCCAAGGGAGCCCCGCCACCCAGAGTGGGACCCTGGCCAACGGGCGTGCCCAGGCCCCGCGTCCGGAGACGAGTCCTTCAGTCCAGGACCACAGCGGCCTCAGCCACAATCATGTCCCCAAGGGCTGCATCCCCAAGAGCAACACACCAAGGGGCATGAGGTCTCAGACGGGAGCTGGCAGCCCTGCCTCTGCGTCCTCTACAGAGGGCAGGCTGCTCGGTGCGGGCCCTGCCTCGGGGAGAAGCCCTCCCGGTCAGGAGGCTAAGGCTCCCCAGGAACAGAGTGAGTGCCTGGCCTCTCAGCCGTGATGTGTGGACAACAAAGTGGTCCCCGGAGGGCAGCGTGCTTGCCCCAGCCTGGCTCAGCCTAGGGGGAAGGAGGTGGTCTGATCTCCCACACAGGCTGCTCTTAACCCCCTTTCCACCCAGGGAGGGAAGGGCTGGGGCTCCCCGGAAGCAGAGAGCTCGGCTTCTGCCTCTGTGGTCCGTTTTCTCTGGAGAGGAGAGGCCTGCACCCATGGGTGAGGGATGTGCGGGACGTAGCTATGGCGGAAGTCCTTCAGTCCTGGACTGAAGGACTCGTCTCCGGACGCGGGGCCTGGGCACGCCCGTTGGCCAGGGTCCCAGACGGGGTCAGTGCAAAAGTGAAGGAGGAAAGAGATCAGTTGAGGGAGACGGCAGGCAGGGGATAGACAGGTGCTCTGAGCTGGCCAGCAGTGGGAGCTTCACCCTGG